GGTTACTACTACTGAGAGCAGGAGATGCAGGAGAGGCAGAAGAGGCAGGAGAGGCAGGAGAGGCAGGAGAGGCAAGAGAGGCAGGAGAGGCAGGAGAGGCAGGAGAGGCAGGAGAGGCAGGAGAGGCAGGAGAGGCAAGAGAGGCAGGAGAGGCATCAAAGGCAGGAGAGGCAGCAGAGGCAGGAGAATCAGGAGAGCAGGAGAGGCAGGAGAGGCAGGAGAGGCAAGAGAGGCAAGAGAGGCAGGAGAGACAGGAGAGGCAGGAGAGGCAGGAGAGGCAAGAGAGGCAGGAGAGGCAGCAAGGCAAGAGAGGCAGGAGAGCCAGCAAAGGCAGGAGAGGCAGCAGAGGCAGGAGAGGCGAGAGAGGCATTAGAGGCAGGAGAGGCAGGAGAGGCAGGAGGGACAGCAAAGGCAGGAGAGACATGAGAGGCAGGAGAGGCAGGAGAGGCAAGAGAGGCAAGAGAGGCAGGAGAGGCAGGAGAGGCAGGAGAGGCAAGAGAGGCAGGAGAGGCAGGAGAGGCAGGAGAGGCAAGAGAGGCAGGAGAGGCAGGAGAGGCAGGAGAGGCAGGAGAGGCAGGAGAGGCAAGAGAGGCAGGAGAGGCAAGAGAGGCAGGAGAGGCAGGAGAGGCAGGAGAGGCAGGAGAGGCAGGAGAGGCAAGAGAGGCAGGAGAGGCAGGAGAGGCAGGAGAGGCAAGAGAGGCAGGAGAGGCAGGTGAGGCAGGAGAGGCAGGAGAGACAGGAGAGGCAGGAGAGGCAGGAGAGGCAGGAGAGGCAGGAGAGGCAGGAGAGGCAAGAGAGGCAGGAGAGGCAGGAGAGGCAATAGAGGCAGGAGAGGCAGGAGAGGCAGGAGAGGCAGGAGAGGCAGGAGAGACAGGAGAGGCAGGAGACGCAGGAGAGGCAAGAGAGGCAGGAGAGGCAGCAAAGGCAGGAGAGGCAGCAGAGGCAGGAGAGGCAGGAGAGGCAGGAGAGGCAGGAGAGGCAGGAGAGGCAGGAGAGGCAGGAGAGACAGGAGAGGCAGGAGAGGCAGGAGAGGCAGGAGAGGCAGGAGAGGCAAGAGAGGCAGGAGAGGCAGGAGAGGCAGGAGAGGCAAGAGAGGCAGGAGAGGCAGCAAAGGCAGGAGAGGCAGCAGAGGCAGGAGAATCAGGAGAGGCAGGAGAGGCAGGAGAGGCAGTAGAGGCAGGAGAGGCAAGAGAGGCAGGAGAGACAGGAGAGGCAGGAGAGGCAGGAGAGGCAAGAGAGGCAGGAGAGGCAGCAAAGGCAAGAGAGGCAGGAGAGGCAGCAAAGGCAGGAGAGGCAGCAGAGGCAGGAGAGGCGAGAGAGGCATTAGAGGCAGGAGAGGCAGGAGAGGCAGGAGGGACAGCAAAGGCAGGAGAGACATGAGAGGCAGGAGAGGCAGGAGAGGCAAGAGAGGCAAGAGAGGCAGGAGAGGCAGGAGAGGCAGGAGAGGCAAGAGAGGCAGGAGAGGCAGGAGAGGCAGGAGAGGCAAGAGAGGCAGGAGAGGCAGGAGAGGCAGGAGAGGCAGGAGAGGCAGGAGAGGCAGGAGAGGCAAGAGAGGCAGGAGAGGCAGGAGAGGCAGGAGAGGCAGGAGAGGCAGGAGAGGCAAGAGAAGGCAGGAGAGGCAGGAGAGGCAGGAGAGGCAAGAGAGGCAGGAGAGGCAGGTGAGGCAGGAGAGGCAGGAGAGGCAGGAGAGACAGGAGAGGCAGGAGAGGCAGGAGAGGCAGGAGAGGCAGGAGAGGCAAGAGAGGCAGGAGAGGCAGGAGAGGCAATAGAGGCAGGAGAGGCAGGAGAGGCAGGAGAGGTAGGAGAGGCAGGAGAGACAGGAGAGGCAGGAGATGCAGGAGAGGCAAGAGAGGCAGGAGAGGCAGCAAAGGCAGGAGAGGCAGCAGAGGCAGGAGAGGGCAGGAGAGGCAGGAGAGGCAGGAGAGGCAGGAGAGGCAGGAGAGGCAGGAGAGGCAATAGAGGCAGGAGAGGCAGGAGAGGCAGGAGAGGTAGGAGAGGCAGGAGAGACAGGAGAGGCAGGAGATGCAGGAGAGGCAAGAAAGGCAGGAGAGGCAGCAAAGGCAGGAGAGGCAGGAGAGGCAGGAGAGGCAGGAGAGGCAGGAGAGGCAGGAGAGGCAGGAGAGGCAGGAGAGGCAGGAGAGGCAGGAGAGGCAAGAGAGGCAGGAGAGACAGGAGAGGCAGGAGAGGCAGGAGAGGCAGGAGAGGCAGGAGAGGCAAGAGAGGCAGGAGAGACAGGAGAGGAAGGAGAGGCAGGAGAGGCAAGAGAGGCAGGAGAGGCAGCAAAGGCAGGGGAGGCAGCAGAGGCAGGAGAGGCGGGAGAGGCATTAGAGGCAGGAGAGGCAGGAGAGGCAGGAGGGGCAGCAAAGGCAGGAGAGGCAGCAGAGGCAGGAGAGGCAGGAGAGACATGAGAGGCAGGAGAGGCAGGAGAGGCAGGAGGGGCATGAGAGGCAGGAGAGGCAGGAGAGGCAAGAGAGGCAGGAGAGGCAGCAAAGGCAGGAGAGGCAGCAGAGGCAGGAGAGGCGGGAGAGGCATTAGAGGCAGCAGAGGCAGGAGAGGCAGGAGGGGCAGCAAAGGCAGGAGAGGCAGCAGAGGCAGGAGAGGCAGGAGAGACATGAGAGGCAGGAGAGGCAGGAGAGGCAGGAGGGGCATGAGAGGCAGGAGAGGCAGGAGAGGCAGGAGAGGCAAGAGAGGCAGGAGAGGCAGGAGAGGCAGAAGGGGCATTAGAGGCAAGAGAGGCAGGAGAGGCAGGAGAGGCAAGAGAGGCAGGAGAGACATGAGAGGCAGGAGAGGCAGGAGAGGCAGGAGGGGCATGAGAGGCAGGAGAGGCAGGAGAGGCACGAGAGGCACGAGAGGCAGGAGAAGCAAGAGAGGCAGGAGAGGCAAGAGAGGCAGGAGAGGCAGGAGGGGCATGAGAGGCAGGAGAGGCAGGAGAGGCAGGAGAGGCAGGAGAGACATGAGAGGCAGGAGAGGCAGGAGAGGCAGGAGAGGCAGGAGAGGTAGGAGAGACAGGAGAGGCAGGAGAAGCACGAGAGGCAGGAGAGGCACGAGAGGCATGAGAAGCAAGAGAGGGGAGTGGAGTAGTTAGTACTGGAAGTGCAGCAGCTGGAGTAAGATGTCATAAGACATCATGGTTTGATGTTTGTGTGAGAAGGGATGGTAATTTTGGATAAGTTTAGGCCATAGGTTATTTTATTGGTATTCGTTGTCTCGTGTTTAGCGGTAAGTCCCTAGTTTGCAGGATCCTGTTTAGTGAAGAGTTACTTAATAATGTTGTGTCAGTAGGCTGAGGCTGGCAAAAGGGGGAGGGGTAGGGGGGTCATGGAGCCTCCTTGTTTATTAATGTTTATTTGTTTTAACCTGTAGTAACATTGTGCTAGTGAGTTGTTGTGTACTGGTGTCTGGTGACTATTGTAAGTAGTGGGTAGGTTGTAGGTTGTATATATTAGTTTACTATTAATAGATTTATACTTTTATAAGTGATAAATTAGACACATGTGCAACTCTTGGGTATCTTTACTGAGGAAACTTTTCGCCACACAGTGGCTTCATCAGTCCATACAAAGGAGAAACGTGAAGAACAGGAGGAAAATGAGATAGTCAGTCCCTTAACCTTGAGTCGATGTGGTCAGTCCATCAATCTTGATGGACTGACCACATCGACTCAAGGTTGAGGGACTGATTACCTCATTCTCCCCCTGTTCATCACGTTTCTCCTTTGTATGGGCTGATATAGCTACTGTGTGGCGAAACGTTTCCTCAATAAAGATACCCAAGAGTTGCCCACGTGTCTAATTTATCAATGTGTCGGTTCTCTGAACCATTCATCTACACTTTTATAAGTGCCTTTAATTGCCCTTCCTGTTAATATAAATATTTATCATTTACTTAATGTTTTTTGAAGTAAAAACTTGGCCCTAGGTTTGTTTATGTGTTTGAATATTTTTAATGTCCCTGGACAGGTTGTTAACCTCTAGCCACCGAGATTTACTTTTATGTATAATAGAAACTGAGTCACAGTTTCATTACCTTACACCTGCTGCCTCTGTTCACCTAGCAGAAAGTAGGTACCTGGGTGTTAGTCAACATACACCTACAATCCCTCTTCTCCTAGCAGTAAGTAGGTACCTGGGTGTTGGTCATCTTAGACCTGCTACCCTGGTTCACCTAGCAGTAAGTAGATACTTGGGTGTTAATCACCTTACACCTGTTGCCCCTGTTCACCTGGCATTATGTAGGTAACTGGGTGTTGGATACCATAGATCTGCTCTCAGTATTCACCTAAGAGTAAGTAGGTACCTAGCTGTTACTCACCTTAAACCTGCTGCCCCTCTTTACACAGCAGTAGGGAGGTACCTGGATGTTAGTCGCCTTTCATTGCTGTCCCTGTTCACCTATCGGAATTTAGGTATCTGGTTGTTAGTTATCTTACACCTGATTATGTTCACCTAATAGAAAGTTGGTTCCTGGGTGTTAGTCACCTTAGCAGTAAGTAGGTTCTTGGTGTTAGTCACCTTACACCTGCTGTCCCTGTTCACCTATCAATAAATAGGTTCCTTGGTGTTAGTCACGTTACACCTGCTGCCTCTGTTTATCCAGCAGTAAGTAGGTACATGGGTGTTAGGTGACTGGTGTAGGTGGCATCCTGGGGACAATATTGACCTAAGTTCCGGGAAATGCTCAGGGCAACCATTGACTTTTTATATAGTAGGTATGTCACTGTTGTGAGCTATGGTCTGTACAAGTTGTGTCATGTACCGCTGTAAAACATGTCAGTTTTTTAGATACACATTAATACAGTTACATATATTACCATACATTGCAAAATGTGTAAATTATCCTCCATGATAACCAAAAAAGTGAGACAAAATATTTTAGGAATATATTATTGAAAAAAATAGTGTTTTATGTGTGTTAATATTTTGGGTTTATTATGAACATCTTAATAATAATATTGATATAATGTGTATTAACGTTATCTGAGTTGTTTTTCTTGGTTACAGGAAGTCTATACGTTTTCGTATCATGACGTAAGCTGTGCTCTGATTGGTTGAAGAGAGAGATGAACAATCCACTGGATCGTTGATGTAAGCTGTGCTCTGATTGGTTGAAGAGAGAGATGAACAATCCACTGGATCGTTGATGTAAGCTGTGCTCTGATTGGTTGAAGAGAGAGATGAACAATCCACTGGATCGTTGATGTAAGCTGTGCTCTGATTGGTTGAAGAGAGAGATGAACAATCCACTGGATCGTTGATGTAAGCTGTGCTCTGATTGGTTGAAGAGAGAGATGAACAATCCACTGGATCGTTGATGTAAGCTGTGCTCTGATTGGTTGAAGAGAGAGATGAACGATCCACTGGATCGTTGATGTAAGCTGTGCTCTGATTGGTTGAAGAGAGAGATGAACGATCCACTGGATCGTTGATGTAAGCTGTGCTCTGATTGGTTGAAGAGAGAGATGAACGATCCACTGGATCGTTGATGTAAGCTGTGCTCTGATTGGTTGAAGAGAGAAATGAACGATCCACTGGATCGTTGATGTAAGCTGTGCTCTGATTGGTTGAAGAGAGAAATGAACGATCCACTGGATCGTTGATGTAAGCTGTGCTCTGATTGACTGAAGAGAGAGATGAATAATTTACTGTTCCACGATGAAAGATGCGCTCTAACTGGTTACATGAAAACATAAGAAAGAAGGAACACTGCAGGAGGCCTACTGGTATATGCGATGCAGGTTCAGTTTTCCTACCGCCTTAAGTCAACGCCCTAACTTAGGTAAGATTAAATTCACTTAAGGAAGCAGCACGGCATCTGACCTAGTAGCACAAGCTAGTCAGGTCCAACTCACACCAACCCACACTCACTCATATATTTATCTAACCCATTTTTAAAACTACACAACGTCTAAGCTTGTATGACGGTACTGGGGAGTTTGTTCCACTCATCCACAACTCTATTACCAAACCAGTGCTTCCTGAATCTGAACTTATCCAACTTTAAACCATTGCTGCGAGTCCTATCTTGGCTAGATATCTTTAGCTCTCTACTTACATCCCCTTTATTTATTCCTGTTTTCCATTTATACACCTCAATCGTATCCCCCCTAATTCTATGCTTTTCTGGAGAGTACAAATTCAGGGCTCTCAGTCTATCCTCATAATAAAGATTTCTGATATATTGGATCAACTTTGTCATCCTCCTTTGTTTGTTTTCCAGAGCATTTATATCCATTCTGTAATACGGTGACCAAAACTGTGCAGCATAATCTAAATGAGGCCTAACCAAGGATATATAGAGTTGAAGAAGAACCTGAGGACTTCTATTATTTATACTTCTTGATATGAAGTCAAGGGTTCTGTTAGCTTTATTGCAAACACTGCTAACTAGAATTCTAAATCCTTTTTGCAATCAGTAATATTAAGATATACTTTACTTAATTTATATGTGACATGGTTATTTTCCTGTCCAACATTTAGAACTTTGCATTTGTCTATATTAAACTGCATCTGCCACTTCTCCGACCATTGCATCAGTCTATTCAAATCATCCTGGAGTGCTCTAGTGTCCTCATTATAATGAATTTGACGATCTATTTTGATGTCATCAGCAACTTCGTTTATGTCGCTATTTATTCCCTCATCTATGTCGTTGATTGTGAACAACAAGGGGCCCAACACTGAGCCCTGTGGAATACCACTTGTGACGTGCCCCATTCTTATTTCTCCTCATTCATGCAATCTCTCTTCTGTGTATTTGACAACAATGCCTCTACCCAGGAAAAAATTTCTCCTCCTATTCCGTGTACCTTAAGTTTCCTCAATAGCCTCTGATGTGGAACTCTATCGAAAGCCTTACTGAAGTCCATATACACAATATCATATTCAATACCATGATCTACCTCCTCAAACACCTTAGTGAAAAAGGTTAGTAAATTCGTAAGACAGGAACGCCCCTTTATAAACCCGTGATGAGACTCATTGATCAATTTATGCCTTTCAAGATGGCTGCGAATTGCCTCGGGAATTATTGATTCCATAAATTTTCCCACTATGGAGGTAAGGCTTATTGGTCTATAGTTTGATGCTAAGGACCTGTCACCTGCCTTGTAAATAGGTATTACATTTGCCATTTTATACTTATCAGACACTATGCCGGTTTGTAGTGATATATTGAACAGATTAGCTAAAGGTATGCTTAGTTCCCCTTTACACTTCTTTAAAACCCTTGCAAACAGTTTATCAGGGCCTGGGGCTTTGTAAGGTTTTAAATTGTCTATTTGTCTGAGGACCATGTCTCTAGTTACCCTAATGATGCATAGTTTATGGTCCTGTTCTACATAATTTATTATTTCTGGAATTTAGCTAGCATCTTCCTGAGTGAAAACTGAGAGGAAGTAGGTGTTGAAAAGTTCACATATATTCTTATCACTGTCAGTGATCTGACCAGAGTTACTCTTATGTGGGCCTATCTTGTCCCTAATCTTACTTCTGTATACCTTAAAGAATTCTTTTGGGTTAGTCAGGAATCGCGGGAAGAACTAAAAGCCATAAATGAAATCGAAAGAAACCCAAAGTATTTCTTCTCCTATGCCAAATCAAAATCGAGAACAACATCCAGTATTGGGCCCCTACTTAAACAAGATGGGTCCTACACAGATGACAGCAAGGAAATGAGTGAGCTACTCAAGTCCCAATATGACTCAGTTTTTAGCAAGCCGCTAACCAGACTGAGAGTCGAAGATCAAAATGAATTTTTTATGAGAGAGCCACAAAATTTGATTAACACAAGCCTATCCGATGTTATCCTGACGCCAAATGACTTCGAACAGGCGATAAATGACATGCCCATGCACTCTGCCCCAGGGCCAGACTCATGGAACTCTGTGTTCATCAAGAACTGCAAGAAGCCCCTATCACGAGCCTTTTCCATCCTATGGAGAGGGAGCATGGACACGGGGGTCGTCCCTCAGTTACTAAAAAACAACAGACATAGCCCCACTCCACAAAGGGGGCAGTAAAGCAACAGCAAAGAACTACAGACCAATAGCACTAACATCCCATATCATAAAAATCTTTGAAAGGGTCCTAAGAAGCAAGATCACCACCCATCTAGAAACCCATCAGTTACACAACCCAGGCCAACATGGGTTTAGAACAGGTCGCTCCTGTCTGTCTCAACTACTGGATCACTACGACAAGGTCCTAAATGCACTAGAAGACAAAAAGAATGCAGATGTAATATATACAGACTTTGCAAAAGCCTTCGACAAGTGTGACCATGGCGTAATAGCGCACAAAATGCGCGCTAAAGGAATAACAGGAAAAGTTGGTCGATGGATCTATAATTTCCTCACTAACAGAACACAGAGAGTAGTCGTCAACAGAGTAAAGTCCGAGGCAGCTACGGTGAAAAGCTCTGTTCCACAAGGCACAGTACTAGCTCCCATCTTGTTCCTCATCCTCATATCCGACACAGACAAGGATGTCAGCCACAGCACCGTGTCTTCCTTTGCAGATGACACCCGAATCTGCATGACAGTGTCTTCCATTGCAGACACTGCAAGGCTCCAGGCGGACATCAACCAAATCTTTCAGTGGGCTGCAGAAAACAATATGAAGTTCAACGATGAGAAATTTCAATTACTCAGATATGGTAAACATGAGGAAATTAAATCTTCATCAGAGTACAAAACAAATTCTGGCCACAAAATAGAGCGAAACACCAACGTCAAAGACCTGGGAGTGATTATGTCGGAGGATCTCACCTTCAAGGACCATAACATTGTATCAATCGCATCTGCTAGAAAAATGACAGGATGGATAATGAGAACCTTCAAAACTAGGGAGGCCAAGCCCATGATGACACTCTTCAGGTCACTTGTTCTATCTAGGCTGGAATATTGCTGCACTCTAACAGCACCTTTCAAGGCAGGTGAAATTGCCGACCTAGAAAATGTACAGAGAACTTTCACGGCGCGCATAACGGAGATAAAACACCTCAATTACTGGGAGCGCTTGAGGTTTCTAAACCTGTATTCCCTGGAACGCAGGAGGGAGAGATACATGATTATATCACCGGGAAAATCCAAGGGACTAGTACCAATTTTCACACAAATCACTCACACAAAGCAAAAGTTTGCAGACGATGCACCATCCCCCCAATGAAAAGCGGGGTTTCACAGCACGTTAAGAGACCCATACAAAAGTTCAGGGGGACCAGACGTTCAACTGCCTCCCAGCACACAAAAGGGGGGTTACCAACAGACCCCCTGCAGTTTTTAAAGCTGGCACTGGACAACACCAAAAGGGCAGTTCCTGATCACCCGGGGCGTGGCTCGACTTGGGTTTTCGTGCAGCCAGCGCAACACCGGGTTTATCAGGCGCTGACCACCAGGACCCGGTCACAGACCGGGGCCCCGGGGCGTTGACCCCCGAAAACCTCCCAGGTAAATCCCGGTAGTCTTCGAATCCCCCTTTTACTTTAGCTTCTTAATCCCTTTTTTATTTTCTTTTTCCTTTTTTCTCTCTCTCTGAACGAATATATTAATTTCTTAACTGCCCAACCCCCTTTTTTTATCCTTAATATGTCTCCTTTTTTACCAATGAGATATTTTATTGTTTACCATTTGGGATCATTTTGTTAGATCTAATTTCCCTTCTTTAAACAAAAGTTTTCTGGGCAGCCAGAACTAGCTTTGAGTACGTAATATTGGCAACCAACACCACCTACCTGACCGATAGTCAGGTCATCCCAAATTTTCTCACCCAGGTAATTTCTCAGTCCCATGAATTTTGAAAGCAGAAGTCCCGGGACAGAACATCATTTCAGTTATTGGGGAAATTTTTGACAATTTAAACATGTGATTTTGATTTTCTTTCCCCCAAACCATCATTAACCTCAAGATTATTAATTAGTGATTCTTTGTTGCCGAGAATCAAGTGAAGCAGGTTGTTTCCTCTAGTTGGTTCTGTCACAAACTGTTTTAAAAAGCAATCCTGAACCATATCAAGAAGGTCACTAGACTCAAGATTTTCTTTCACATTGTTCCAATCAATTTGTCTAAAGTTAAAATCTCCCATTAACACAACATTTTCGTATCTAGACACCTTATGGATCCACTGGCTCCATAATGTAAGCTGCGCCCTGACTAGTTGAAGAAAGAGATGAACAATCCACTGGCTCCTCATTTGAAGTTCCCTAAATCTCTGAAGTGATCCTTCATTTCCCTGGTTACATTTAGTATCATCTGTTATCCAAGTGCAGTGTGAACCTTACAGTATACATGGAGAGGATGTCGGGGGTCAACGCCCCCTCGACCTGTCTGAGACAAGATCTTGTGGTGGGTCAGGGTCTGATCAAGCAGGCTCTTACTGCTGTATGCATGGAAACCGAAATATGAACTACAGCCTGGCTGGTCAGGTACTGACTTTAGGTGCCTGTCTAGTGACTTCTTGAAGACAGCTGTCATCTGCGTGGGTCTCATCTCGTTTAAGCAGGGTTCCAATACTGGTGCTGTTTTTACCTTAGATTTGGCATAAGAGAAAGATTTTGAATTTCTTTCAATGTCCTTTGTGGCTTTAAGTTCTTCCTGAGTTTCATGTCTCCTGCAAGATATCTTAAGCTTAAGTTCTATATTTTCTATTTCTCTGATTAGTGTCTCCCTTCGTAGTTCAGATATACTGGCCTCTAACAACAGCTATGTGATTCTTCGTCTTCGATCATATAAACAACATCTCTCTCTTTCTAGTTTATATCTTCTTTTTCTTTTTCTTATTGAAAAGTGTTTGAGCAGACCTCGAGTGCCACAGAGTTAGTTTTTCTAGGCAAAGGATCAGATCCATTTTGCTTAGGATATCTTCCCAGCTTGTTTCATTTAGGACATGCTTGACTTGTTTGCAGTGCATGTTTTTGTTACTGAGATTGAATTTCGTGACGGCACCCTCATAACTGATCACATTTTGCTGGTCAGGAACTCTGCACATTCAGAGTGATTTGAAATGTAATGACTTGAGTGATTTGAGTGTAATGACTTTTATACGGTTATATTACGTCTCGTATTATCGTTGTTATTGAAGATGATGTTCAGTGAATTTTCTAGTCTTATAGGCTCTATTATTTGCTGATTTAAGAATAATTTGTTGCAGAGATTTAATATCTCGTGTGTGTGTGAATTTTCATCTGAGCTGCCTCCTGGGGTGATCTCTGCTGAAATATTATTTGCTACATTCCTCCTTTGTAGGTGTCTCAAGTTGAAATCCCCCAGTTGCAAAATGTTTGGGGCAGTTGGGAGATTTTCCAGACAATGGTCAGTTTTCAAAAGCAGTTCCTGGAATTTCTGGGAAGTTGCTTCTGGAGGCTTGTATACAACCACAATTACATGGTCTTGGTTTTCGATCTTTACTGCCGAAACTTCAACTACATTATTTGAGGTGTTTAGTAGT